TGATTTCATAGAGGGAGAGAAACATCAATGATGAGAGAGAATCATTGATTGGCTACCTCCTGCACACCCCCTACTGGGGACTGAGTCTGCAATCCAGACATATGCCCTTGACCAGAATTGAACCCGGGACCTTTCAGTCTGCAGGCCGCTCTATCCACTGAACCAAACTGGCTAGGGCAACATGATATTTCTTTAAACTTCATATTATATATATTTTTTTAATATGTTTGTATTGGTTTTAGCGAAAGAGGAAGGAAGAGAGACAGAGAGGTGGAAATGTTGATTGGCTACCTCCTGCATGCCCCCTCCCAGGATGGAGTCCACAACCCTGGGCATGTGCCCTGAAAACAAAAAAAAACAAGTATAATGTGCTATAATCTGGGTGGTGGTTACATGGTTTTTCTTTTTTCTTTTAAATATCTATTTATGATAAAAGCCATTAGCTTTTACCTTTGGTTTTTATCTTTTTAAAACCTCTTGGTTTTTATCTTTTTTAATATATATATATATTTAATTGATTTCATAGAGGGAGAGAAACATCAATGATGAGAGAGAATCATTGATTGGCTACCTCCTGCACACCCCCTACTGGGGATCGAGTCTGCAACCCAGGGCATGTGGCTTGACTGGGGATCAGACTGTGACCTCCCGGTTCATAGGTCAGTGCTCAACCACTGAGCCACACGGGCCGGGCTGAGGATGAAACTTGGTTTTCGTCCATTCAGAGCTGCAGCGCCAGGGACGCTTCCAATGGGCGCCTTTGTGAGGACGGCGGCGGATGCGGCTGAAGGTCAGAGTAGATATCAGCCATATAATGTATTTTCTGTATTCCTTTATATGGTGTATATGATGTTTTTAACAGTAAATTTGTAAAAAGTAATATTTCAATGCAGATTTCTACTGTTTGGTAGTTGGTTTATTTAAATTATTCTGCTTTAGTTTCTCCATCATTTTGTTTGTATATTTTGGTGAATTTCTCAGTGCTTAAAACATCTAGCTTCAAAAGCTAACCACTATTACACACTGGATTGTATAGTTCCAGCCAAAACCAAAAAAAATGTAGATAGCTTAGTTTAGGTTTTTGAAATATTTAAGATAACTCAAGACTGTCATTACTACTTTTAAATACTACAGTGATTCAGAAACCTTTGTTGGAAACCAGCAAAATATGACTCATAATGTATTTATAGAGTAAAAATTGGCAGTCTTAATTTTTAAATACTTTTTAAAAAATACAATCAGTCCTTACTTAACGTTGTCAATAGGTTTTGTGACTTTAAGTGAAATGACGTATAATGAAACAGTTTTGCCACAAACTACTTGATAAAAACAAGAGTTAAGTTACATTGGCATCTCATCAATATTGTAAGTTATGACAAAATGGCATTGAGAGAAACAAAAGAACATTATGTGAGGACCTTCTGTAGCTGAGACTTAAACTCATGGAAGTGGTTTGGTGTGCTCTGAATCTAGCAACTTCTTAAATTTGCCATCTCTTAAACCTGCTCTTTAGGAATGGGATTTTTCTTATATCTGAACTAGAAGACTTTGAACTCTTCCTCCTAAGACTGAACCGCATTGGGGGTGTGATGCAAGATACCCTCCCTGTTCAAAACTACAGGTCCAAAGAAGGTTGGGATTTCCATTCTCACTTCATTCTTTATTGTTTGGAACACAGCCTGCAGTATCTTCTTTATGTCTATCTCGACTGTTACAAGTAAGTCCTGAGAGTGATTTGTCCTTGAGCAGGTCTTCATGTGACAAGAGCACATGATACTTGAATGTGACAAGAACAAAATATTGAGCATTCACTGGAGGAATACTGATCTTCCTGAAGTAATTCCCCTCCCTGCAGCACTTGGTACATCTTTTAGTTTCATGCTACATTCAACTAAATGCTTACCATGGTTTTTTGTTTGTTTGTTTGTTTGTTTTGGTGATGTTAAATCTGTAAGCTCTCTGTTAACCTTTTAAATAATTAGAGATTAGAATGAAGTGAAAGAAATGCTTTAAAAGTTAAAAAGAGAGGAAGAGACTAAAGGTTAACTTGGGAGTTCTTTGGTAACGTTCATTACCAGGCAAATGTTAAACAACTTTGAATTTATAAACACTGCAAGTTAGATATGCTCTAAAATTTACATTTGGATGGATGGGTGGGTGGATTGATCAATAGCTGTACAGACATGCACCAACATATATTTACTTAAGATCAACTTGCAGAATCATATCTGTGGCCAGTGTTCATTGCTATTGGGTCAGTAATAACAATAATAGTAGTAATCTCTAATATATGAGTGCTTACAATATTCTTGGCACTTAGATTATTTTACTAATCTTCACAAAAACCCTATGAATGGTTACTTTTTGACAGATGAGGAAACTGAAGCTTCAAGTGACACTAAGTGTCTTACTATGGCACACAACTAGTAAATGGCAGAGTCAGATTTAATTCCACTTACGTTTGATTCTAGAGCCCACTTTCAGTGTGCTAATGAGAACATTTTTTTTTTTTCCCTTTGGGACCCGAGAGAACATTTAAATGTGTATAGTAAAAGCTAGAAATTCAAACTGGGTCTATTTCTGGTTCATATCATTGAGGCTTAATTACACACAGAGATGTTTTTCCCAAAGCTACTGGCAAGAGATGATTTAAAAGTCGTATTTTCAAAGGACCTATTCTGAGCCTTAACTCCTAAGTCCTAGCTTCTCTGTAGTTGTGTAAAGGGTTATAAAAACCTCTTAAGTTTGAAAATGTTAAAGAGTTTTTATTGTAAAAATAATAAAATACAAAGTATTTTAAAGCACAAGGTATCTGTTAATCTTACACAAAGCTGGTAATATTTTATTATGGTAGTAAACACAGTTTAAATATTATTATCTCTGTCTCTAAAATTTACCTCTATTTCCAGATCATAAGGAATATGTAAAACACAAGTGGGAGTATATTATATTTACTTTTTAATTTCGAGATTCTTTTTTTAAAGCTAGTTATTACCTTAGCAGACATGATTGTAATTATCTGTCTTATCTTGCATGTTAATCAAAGAGTTTGTTTTCTTTTGTTTTATATATAGGCTTAGTCCTCCAAATTGTTCCTTTTTGGGAAAAAAAGAATTACATGAAACTCACCCCTGGTTTGAATTTTTAGTTCAGTGTCGAGAAGTTTCTAGTAACTTAACAGGTATGGGTACTGTATTAAATACAAAAATTTCTTTGAATAAATAACTGGTCTGTTGAGTGGCATTTAACTTGTGAACTCTTTTTAAATAAATCATTTGGCTGTAGACAAATATCTGACTATAGTCTAGTCTCAAGCTTTGTTTAAGAAGCGGAAGATCAAAACTGTTAACCTCTTCAGAGCCAAGAAAAACCAGGCAGAGCAGACAGTATATAGTTGTTTCCTTTCCCTCTCACTCTCCTGCTCTATTCTTTTTGGCTCTCTCTCTTCCTGCCAGTTTATTACAGGCTGAATTCCTGCTCTCCGGCACATTGGCACCCTTTTCCAATGAAGAAGTGGTCTGTCTTTTAGGAAGGAACTCCAGATGGAGTGAAAAGATATGCACAGTATGTGTGGGCTCGTGTCTTCTGTGGCAGAGCTGCTGACAGAGAACATTGCTCTGATTATAATCAGATAGAACTGCCCTGTGAGCCCTGAGGGTATTATTTCAGAGATTCAGGAATGTCAGCAGCCAGTCTTTCACTCACTATTATGTAATGTCCGGTTTCTTTCCAAATGAAGAATTTTTTCCTAATGTGTTCTTTTGTTTTGTTTTGTTCGTTATTTTTGGTGCTGATTACAAAGTAATATATGTTTATTGTAAAAAAATAAATAATTGGAAGCCACAGACAACTATTGAGAAGATAACATGTCCATGGGTAGATAGTAGATAGGAAGATTCATAGGTAGCTCTTGATATATTGTAATGTATTTTCTAATTATTGTCTTCATGCTCTTTTTGGTCTATAGTATTTCATTCATCTAACAAATATTTATTGAGCTCCTACCTTGCGACAGTCTATAAATGCTGGGAAACAAGAAATATTTGTGGCCCTAACTGGTTTGGCTCAGTGGATAGAGCGTCGGCCTGCGGACTGAAACGTCCCAGGTTCAATTCCAGTCAAGGGCATGTACCTTGGTTGCGGGCACATCTCCAGTAGGAGGTGTGCAGGAGACAGCTGATCAATGTTTCTAACTCTCTATCCCTCTCTCTTCCTCTCTGTAAAAAATCATTTATATTAAAAAAAAGAAACATTTGTGTATTTGTATTCTGTTTTTCACCCCCATATAGTAATTATAAGAATTTTCCTGTGTACTTGGAAATAATGACCATTTTATGTTTACATAATATTTCCTTGTATGAATATATTCATTTAATTTACTACTCTCTCATTTATTAGCATTGAGACTGTTTTTTCTCTCCTGTAAATAATAGTCTTTAGTATATTTGAACATAAAATTTTTGTCTTGTTCCAGATTTTTTTTTTCTGTGATCCTCAACCGAGGATATTTTTCCATTGAATTTCAGAGGGAGTGGAAGAGAGAGGGAAAGACAGAGAGAAATATTGATGTGAGAGAAACACATCAATTGGTTGCCTCCTGCATGCGCCCTGACCAGGGCCTGGGCTGGGGAGGAACCTGCAACCGAGGTATGTGCCTTTGACCAGAATCAAACCCAGGACCCTTTGGTCCACAGGCCAATGCTTTATCCACTAAGCCAAACCTGCCAGGGCCAGATTATTTCTTTAGATAGGTTTTTGGATATGAAATTACTGGGTCAAAGGTTATACACACTTTGAATGTTCTTGCTATAAGACCAGATTGCTTTCTAAGGGGTTTGTACCGTAAGTCCCAGCTGTCTGATTGAGGATGATTATTTTTAAAAATCATTGCTGTTTTGATAGGTGATATATGGCATCTAATTATTTTAATGTGCATTTCTGTATTGTTAGTGAATTACATATTTTTATGGTTGGACATTTATAGTTTCTCTTTTGTAAATGGTTTTTTCTTTTGTTCATTTATCTGTTAGTATTTGGGGCATTGTTTTGTATACGCTCTTGGCTAAAGACATTAAGCCTTAGGTTGTCATCTGTTGTTAATTTTCCCCCTAGTTCATCACTACCCTTCAGGGTTTTTTTTTGGTTTTTTTTGTTTTGTTCTGTTTTTTTAAATACTTTTTTTGATTTTTTTACAGAGAGGAAGGGAGAGAGATAGAGAGTTAGAAACATCGATGAGAGAGAAACATCGATCAGCTGCCTCCTGCACATCTCCCACTGGGATGTGCCCACAACCCAGGTACATGCCCTTGACCGGAATCGAACCTGAGACCTTTCAGTCTGTAAGCCGATGCTCTATCCACTGAACCAAACCGGTTTCGGCCAGTTTTTAATATAAGTTTTTGTTTTTACATAGACATATCTTTCATTTTTTCTCTTTGTGATATTTTCCTATTGCTTTTAAATTTAGAAAGTCCTTCTTTCTCTAGAGAGAGTTAAAATTAATTTTCTTTCTCAGAATTATATAATTCTTAATTTACATTAAGGAGAAAAACATACTCTTTTATTTTCCAGATCCTAAACTGATCTTCCAGGCTAGCCTTGCGAATGCTCAAATACTGATTCCCAGCAACCAGGCCAGCGTAAGCAGTATGCTGTTGGAAGGACATACCCTCCTGGCCCTTGCTACCACAATGTATGCTCCTGGTGGTGTCAGCCAGGTATGGACAGTACCTCTACCTATTATGGCAAAATAGGACTGATTTTAAATTTAGCAGAAATATCTATGGATTTTCTAGAAATCAGTTGTATTAAAATATAACCACTCGTATTAAAAAAACTGTGGTATGTCTACACTATGCCACTATAAAAAAGAAGGAACTTTTACCATTTGCAATAGCATGGTTGGAACTGGAGAGCATTATGCTAAGCGAAATAAGCCAGTCGGACAAAGATAAATATCACATGATCTCACTCATGTGGGATATAATAATCAATATAATTTGATGAACAAGAATAGATCCAGTGACAAATGGTAGGGGCGGGGAGTTAGAGAGCAACCAAAGGACTTGTATGCATGCATATTAGCATAACCAATGGACACAGACACTGGGGCGGTGGGGTCTTGTCTGGGGTGGGAATGGCTGGAGGTGAGGGGGGTGGTCAACTGGGAGAAAAAGAAGACATATGTAAAACTTTAGACAACAAAAAAAAGATCCAGCGACAAATGTTGCGGGGTGGGGGGGCGGTTAGAGAGCAACCAAAGGACTTGTATGCATTCATATTAGCATAACCAATGGACACAGACACTGGGGCGGTGGCAGCTTGCCCAGGGTGGGAATGACTGGGGGCGGGGGGGAGTCAATTGGGGAAAAAGGGAGACATAAAAATAAATAAATAAAAAGAAAAGGGACATTGGTCACCCTAATGGATGATGTCCACAATAGCAGTATTTTATTTTAATACAGAGACATTCCATGCTATATATCCTATCTAAGAAAAGAGAAACATGGTAATTGGCATACAACCGCTACCCTTCCCTTTGGCTAATCAGGGCGATATGCAAATTAACTGCCAGCCAGATGGCGGCCGGCAGCCAGGCAGCTTGAGACTAACATGAGGCTTGCTTGCTTCAGTCAGTGAGAACTCCAACGTTCCCCGCCTGCCGCTGCAGGCCTCTGAGCTGGCAGTTTGAAACATAATTACAAAAATAGAAGCTAAACAAAACCCCAGAAACCAGCTTTCAGCAGCCCGAGATCTCAGAGCTGGAGTTGATACAGAGTTTCGA